AACTTTAAATATGTGCAGCTTATTGTATGTAAGTTATACCACAAGAAAACTATTGAGGGAGCGGGGGAAATCAGCCATTCTCCTTGGCTGGCCTTCCCTTGACAATTGGGAGATGGCACTACGGGTCTTCTTCTCTCACCAGCACTTAACATGACATCGTATGAACATTCCTCATCACCTCCGCCTCTTCTAATCTGGCCCACCCTCTCTACTCTGGATTACTACAACAGCCTCCTTGTCCTGCTTCCAGCACTGCCTCCCTTTTTCCACTCGAAACCACAACGGCTCCTATCTCATGCCATGCCCTGGACAAGCCCAGGACCTTGTGTTACAGTATTACTTCTGTAATAGCTTCTGCCCACTCTGCACCCCTAGTCTTTCCTCTCTGTCTTCATTGCTGTTACTCCCCCTCTTCTCTCACTCAATTCTATCCGTGCTTGCTGCTTCTGAAATATCTCAACATCATGTTCCATCGCTGGGCCTCCCGTATACCCTCTCCCCCAGGCTGGTCTCCTCCCGCTCACTCTCTCCTTCCAGTCTTAGCTCAAACGTGACCTTCAAAAGGAAGTCTACTTTCCTATTTAAAACTGTACACCTGTGCGTCCCCTTTGTTTACAACCTTCTTGTTTGTTTGTTTGCTGTCTCTCCTTGCTAAAACATAAGCTCTGTGAGGGCAGGGATTTTCGTTCCTGACTATATGCTCAGCATCTAGAAGAGCACTTGGCAAAAAGTGGCTGCTTACTGTTCAATGCATATATAATTTCATGGGGATTAAGTGTGACTTAGACCACCAAACAAGTTTTACTGAACAAAGTAAGTGACTTCATAAATAACTAACAGGGGCGCCTGGGTGGCTCAGTCAGTTGGGCATCCAACTGTTGATTTCAGTTCAGGTCATGATCTCGGGGTTATGAGGTGGAGCCCCATGTCAATCAGGCTCCACACTCAGTGCAGAGTCTGCTTAAGATTCTCTCTCTCCCTCTCCCTCCACCCCTCCCCCCTTCGCTTTCTAAAATAAATAAATAAATCTTAAAAAAAAATAACAGCACATGGCATGATAAAATGAAACAAAGTCAAATGAGCTTTGAGACCTCAAACAGGGATGCCAGGAGATGTAGGAAAACATTAAATATCACAGCATTTTTAAAAATTATGAATGCTCCCACCCCCTACCTGCAGTTACGATCTAACCTTTCATGCTTTCAAAGATGAGCTAAGGAATATGAAGCTACTCATTTCAAAGTCAAAGTAAAGTATGGTAATGAATTTCTATCTTTAAATGAATTCAACTTTTCCTGAGTCAAAGACATGAAATGGGAGTCCTAGAATTCCAAGAAAATTATGACAAAGTCCTGTTTTCTTATCACATACTCAGCAGGAATCATGGATTGGCCTCTCTCACTTTTCCTCCTTTGCCCTTCCTAGGAAATCTGGAAAATAATATCAAGAATCTGCAATATTTGGCACTAGTTAAAATTCTTAAGAATTGTCTTTCCTATAAAGACAATGTTGCAGAAAATGTTTCCTTCCAAATGTACGAAAAACAGTAACCAATAATTATTCACCTGATCCTTTTGAAGGTATTCCAGTCAGAGAACAAAGTGTAGGACTACAGTAAGCAATGAGTTGTTAATGCCTTCCCTGATAAAATTTGTGCATGTATATGTACATATTTTTTGCGGGGGGGGGGGGGTTGTTTGTTTTTAACATCTAGGAGTAACAAGCAATTGCCAGCAAAGCTAGCATAGGAAAATCAAATACTCTGCCAATTTACACACGATTCCCTGAAGCCATTCCTGATTAAATGTTGTACCATTTCAATCTTCTTACTGGGGATATCTATTAACTAGCACTGCTTGTGAAGCCAATGAATTCAGTATATAATTACACGTATCCTATACAAATTACTTCTCAATGACCTCTACTCACAGAAATAAACCAAAGAGGGATGACTGGCTCATTATAAATCTACAGAAAGATTTCACTAGGAAAAGGTATTGAGAGCAAAGTCCTGAAGGATCTTAAGCTTCACCTGAATTTAATTTCAGCAGGAAGTAATCTCTTCTGTTCTGAACTCCCAATGCATTTTATATGAACTCTTTGTGGCACGTGACACTTTTCTGTCACTAGGGAACTATGTGACCTTGGACAAGTCACTGCCATTCTCCCCGCCTGAGTGTCCTCATCTGTAAAATGAGATGCTTGAACAAGGTGATTTCAAGTCTCTTCCGGATCTCATATTTCCGGATGGCATAATTACAATCACAGAAGCACACTTTACCCGTCCTTTCAAGGCAAGCATGGGAATTTGATTTACCTCTGGAGCCTCCCTACTGTCTAGAACAGCCAACTGAATTTCCTTTAGCAACTGCTCGGCAAACACATTCAGGGACTCTGAAGACAGTACCGTCATCTGAAATTCCCATTCTCTTCGCCACCTTCAAGCCCTTCCTAAGCCCGACCGTGACTGTCACCCAAATGGCTCTCTTCGAGGCCACCCTTACCATACCTCTGGCAGAATTACAGGGAGGCCAGAGAAGTAAACATATCACTTGTCACCTGGAAGAAATGCATCCACCCAAAAGTTTCAAGGCACATGCTTTGTAAACCATCTGACTCAACATCACACACACAACTGGAGGCCTAGAGAGAGGTTCCACTTCATAGAATAAGTTTATCTAATGCATTCCAATCACCTGAGAGCATGCGTAGGAAGCTACAAGCAAATGCTGCGGGGGGAGAGAAGCAAGGTGGCAGGCAGAAGAGGAGAGAATATGAGACCTGCTAAGGAGAAGAAGGAGAACATTCCCTTCACCTTTCCAGAGGTGGACATTTTAAAAACCCAAATCCCAGAGGGAACTATACTGCAAGAATAGGAAACATCTACTCATAGCTGTTAGGACTCTGAAGCCAGAATGTCTGGGTTCAAATCCCTCCTCTGCTGATTAGTAGCTGTATATCCACGGGAAAGGTAATCAACCCTCTGTGCCTCGGTATTCTCATCTGTAAAATGAGAATAGCAGTACTTCATTGATAGGGCTGTTATAAAAATAAAACAGGTTAATACATGTAAAATGCTTATACCAACACCCAGAGCATAGTAGGTGCTCAGTAAATGAGAGCTCCTAGTGTTGCAGTTATTATTATTAGAGTTCTGGGATTCTCTCGGATTTGTTCTAAGAGAACAAAGGAACCACGCTGCTCTTACAGATTCTAATTCTGCAGTTCCCTCCTCCAGATGACAGTTGCAAGGATAAACCTTTACGTATTTATGTATACTTGTATACTCTATCGGTCTTAACTACTGCCAACGACAGAAACCATTCATTCAAAATTTAAATTCCTTTCTGAATGATATTCTAGGTTTCAAAAAAGACTTGATCGCCCACGCTCTGAGAGTACAAAAGGACTATTAAACTGTAGGGCTGAGAGGAGGTGGGAGCACAAAGACATCCTTGTCGCAGTTTGAGCTATCACATACCAAGGCCTCAACGGCCTCAGCTTCAGAGAGTTGCCTCCTTCAGAAGGAAACTAACAAACTGGATCCATTGTTCCTTCCCATCAGAGTTCTTGGATGTGATCGTTCTTAAATCCCTGGCAACGCCTTAGCAAAGATCAGAAGATCTCAGTTCTTTCCATTAGGACAGCATCAAATCCCCTCCAAGCAATTTTCTTAGGTCAGCATCGTTATTTGAGGTGCCAGGGAAACTGGCGAAATTTCCAACCGCTAAACTAGTTCCCTGTTCCGGGCTGAAGACGTGAGTTAAAGCTAGAAGATATTTTAGCTGTCCTGAGGAAATGTCTGAGATTGGGAAATGGGAAGAAATTTAAAGAGAATCATGAGAACTTCCTTTTTAAAATCCCTTTTATAAAGCAGTCATTTTAGTAAACAAAAAGCATACAAAGCGATAATGACAACCAATTAAAAAAACAGTTTTCAGAAGGCACTGACCCTTAAAAGTTCCAGTTTGTTCCCTGATGGGATGTCTAGAACTCTGGTTTTCCAAGCATCTTTCAATAAACAGGTAGAAGAGATAAACAGACAAAAGAGCTAATACTGTGTCTTGTATTCCTTTGTCAAAAGATCAGGCAAAGAACAAAGTCAGCAATGGTCACGCTGTCCTGGATACGTTCAACTGTCTTTTTATAACCCTGGGCTGAAAAACAATGGACACCCTAAACACACAGAAACGGAGCAACAGAAGAAGTAAAGTTCCAGGAGGCCACAAAAAGGTAGCCTATGTTCTCTGTTCCAAGGGGGCCAGATTTCAGAAACTTCGAGAACAAGTTCGCCCACAGCACCCCTTTTAGGTCTAAAACTGCAGAGCTGATGGGGGTGGCTGGAGAGTTTCCTAAAAACAGAGGACTGTCTGCTTACAGAACCCACTTCAACTGCTTCTGGCAAGGAAGGACAGTAGTCAAATCCGTATGAAGCCACGAACAAGTCCGTATTTGACAAATCGCTCCCATCAAGACAGTGATGTCAACCACAATAGAGTATTTTGGCAAGACTGAGAATGTGCACCTGTGGGAACCTGGGAAGATGACAGATTTTCGTCTTCCCGGCCCTTTATCAGCACGTTAATTATAGCAACTGTACGGTGTACGCGGAGCTTTACAGAAAGGCACCTGGCTGTGTGAAACCAAGACGCTGCTCTCCTGGGCATGAGAAAGACAGAACGGCAGTAGTGGTTACACGCGGCAGTCCTCGGTCTGAGGACAGTGTAACAGCGAGCTGGACGGCACCACTGGACGAGAAAGAGGCATACTCTGCAGATACCTGGGTGTGGCAAACCTAGGAAGGAGTCACGACACCTGTGTACGGACACACACACACCCGCGCACACGCACACTCGCGCACGCGTACACGCACGCACACGCACACTCGCGCATGCGCACGCGCACACGCACACTCGCACATGCGCACGCGCACGCCTCCAGAGCCTCCCCAACTCCGGTCGCGGACGCCCGGGGATGCGTCTTCCCGGAGCAGACTGTACCTTCACAGCTATAACTGTACACGGCCACCGCCGACCGTTCCACCAGATTTTCATCATGATGCCAGCTCACGGCCATTTTGCCCATGCCAAAATAAGGCTCCTCCTTCAGGTACGGCATTTTCTGGGGATCCATGAAATTCAACAGAGTGACGTTGTATGCGGCTCTGTTCTTAATGTCCAGCTCGTCTTGCCCGTCAAAGGCCCCCAGCCCGACCCTGGGGAAATCTGGACCGATACACACCGGCACGGCATCGATATTAGCTTTCTCTTTGCAAGCGAGTTCCTCCAAAGCCTGGCTCGTCTCTGTCTGCAGGTAGTCGTTGAGCTTGAGGAAGGTCTGACAGGCAGCAGCGATACCCGCCTCCTCGTATTTCGGACTAGCGCCCTTCACCGGCCAGGGCACCGTGAAGAGCCTGGTGTTGAGGTACTTGTAGGTGCAGCCTGGGTTGCCGATGAGGATGCGAGAGACCGGGGTGAGCAAATCCTTGCCCTGGATCCTGACCAGGTCCCGAAAGAAGCAGCCATGCTTATGCAGCGTGAGGAAGGCTTCTTGCACGTCCTTATGGAGCGCCTCGGGTACGCTGCCGGCTTCGCGGAGAATCAGTTTCGGGTATTTCAGCTGCCACTGAAACAAAACCAAAGCAAAAACATGTGTTCACGGAGAGCTAGGAGTTTCTCATTTCCAGAACTGTGATGCTTGGTCAGCGTTCGGAGGGGGAAAAAAAAACAACCGTCAGGTAGCATTTCTGAACAGGACCCGTATCTCTCCAGCCTCACACGGAAGGCGACGTGAAACGAATGTCATCGACTGTCCGAGGCAGGATTTTCAAGTCCCAGCTCAAATCATTCATCTTGACTATAAACAAAATAATCAGCATCTGTGCTCTAATCTGCCAGGCTCCCTCTACAGCCACTTCTCCCTGCCCTCAATCTGTCTTCCAACCTTTGGCCCTCTGGACAACACGATTTTATTAATTAACTGCTTACTACCTATTTATTAAGTGCTTACTAAGTGCCGTGTATTATTCTAAATGATTCAGACACGTTGACTCATTCGCAGCTCACAGCTTTACGTGACGGTACTGTTACTGTCTCCGGTTTCTACAGGAGAATCTGGAGGCACAGAGACATTTATTTAAACACTTGCCCGGAGTCACATAGCTGATACCCAGTGGAGCTGGGATTTGGAGCCTCTGGGCTCGAGTCTGGCTCCAAGGCAGGAGGTCTGAACCACGAGACTGCCCTGCCTCCCAATAAATGACAAACTGGTGTCTGCTCTAATACTTTCACTGGGGGAGAAATCACTTCTCGTAGGAGTTGGATACCAAGTCCCACGAACACTAGAGCCAGGAGAATTTTGCTTACAACGATAATACTAGTGCCCGGAATGTATTCGGCAAATGTTGAATAAAGGAGTGAATAAATGAGGGGTTCTACTGCGACTGAGAAAGTTGTGATCATTCTACTGGTGTCACTGGAGGAGAATACTGTAAGATGATCCCTCCTCTAATATGGAAACACATGGATTTATTGTCACAGTGGAGGACTTCATTACCTATTCAGCCACCACTTCTGGCTCCTAAGACTCATGAATGGGTGATAAACCAGAGTTCCCTGATTCTGTACAATGAAATGGACTTTTTTTTTTTAACCAAAGCACAGGATTTTACATTTACCCCCGTAAAGTTTAATCTGATCGGTACCTTCTCAGTACTGTACTGCCCACCATTTTTGAGACACATTCCTTCTATATCTTCATCAATGATTACCATTTATATGATAAACAGGGAAGACCATTTATGCCTTCATACGTTTTTTTCATTCAATGTATGTCTGCGGAGCACCTACCAAAAACTAGACAGAGATAAGGTTCCTGCCCTCACAGAGCTTTCTACCAGATCAGGTAATAAATAAGGAAAAGTGGTCTCGAATTGCGTTAAGTACTAGGACAGAAACAAACCAGTGGGAAATCTGTCATAGATGAGGGAAAACTCTCTAAGGAGTTGGAATTTAAGCTGAGATCTTCAGGAAAAGGAGGTGCCAGCCACGTGACAAGCTGGGGAGAGAGCTTCCCGGAGAAATGACCAAAAACCACAAAGGTACTGAGGAGGGAGGCCAGACTTTTCGAGAGACAAAAAGAAGGCCAGTTTTACTAGAGGAAAAAAGCCAAAGGCAGAGAGACATGTGGTGGGGTTGAAGGGAAGGCAGGGGCTGGACCACACAGAGCCTGGGAGGTCAAAGTAGGGAATCGAGATTTGACTCGAAGTGTGCTAGAGGACCCAAGGGAAGAAGAGTAATTTGATTTACATTTTATAAAAATCACTCTTAGTTACAATATCGGGCACAGATTGGAAAGAGGCAAATGTGAAAGTGGAATTCCTGTTAGGTGCTATTACAACCATCCAGGAGAAAAGAGATGATGGTCTAAATGTGAGACAGGTAAAATACGTATTTTATAGGCAGAGCAAAAAGCAGTGCTTATCAACTAGATGTGAGGGGTAAAGAAAGGAAAGCAGTTCCAGATGACCCTCAGATTTCTGGATTTAATAAATGAATAAACAGCTTACCATTTTTTTAAAGATTTATCTATCTATTTGAGAGAATGCGTGCACGCTCAAGCAGGAGGGGCAGAGGGAGAGTGTCTCAAGCAGACTCCATGCTAAGTACGGAGCCCAAGATCATGACCTGAGCAGAAACCAAGAGCTGGACACTTAACCAACTGCGCCACCCAGGCACCCCTCCTTTTTATTTTAAATAAAAAAGACTGGGACAATACAGGAATGCTAGGTAGAAGAATCGGAAGGAAGGAGGAGCTCCCTTTTGGAGCTGTAGCCATTAAGATACCTACGAAATCTTCATGTAGAAGTGGTGGGGAGGGTGGGGGGGGTCAACTGCAGAGACACACCTGGAAATCCAGGAGGCAGCTGTCAGCACACCTGTGGTTTTTAAAGGCCTGGAAATGAATGAGCCCTCCCAGGGAAACAGCATGAACACAGAAGGGGGCCCACGGCCATTTCCTGAGTTTCAGAGGAAAGGAGCAAAAGAGACCTTTGAGGGAGAAAACTAGGACAGAGTATTAATGCAGAAGTGAAAAGACAGGAGCACTTCAAGGGTGGAGTAGGCGACCACTCTTGAGAGGCCAAGTGAGATGAGGACAGACATGACCCCCGAGATGTGGCAGCATGGAGATCAATGATGACCGTGACAAGAGTGATTTCGCAGAGTGGTGGGGATGAGAGTCAGAGGAGAGTCAGCTGGGGATGGAATGACAGAGCAGCAGTGGAGGCGCCGTGCTTAAATGTCCATCTCCGAGGTCACGCTCTGAAGGGGAACAGAATAACGCAGTTGTTGATGAAGGGCAATACCAGATCGGGGGACCATCTTCAGTGCTGGAAGACGGGGGGGACACACCAGAGCTTGCCAGGATACTCCTGGGAAGAGGCTGCTGCTGCAGGACACGGGGTGATTAACTACAGGAGCAAAATCCTTGAGTGGCCAGAGCGGGAGTCTCCCAAGGGAAGTATATGAATGACCAGTGGGGTTTGTATGGCAATCCGCCAGAGTTGGTGGGGGGAAGCTGGCAGAACCATTTTGTTTTTAATCTAAAAAAAAAAAAAAAAAAAATCAAGCTTTACTAAAATATGTGTACATATATGTGTTTGATATATAAACACATATACATGCGTTTAATATGAGTTCTATTATAAAATAGACACAAGTATACAAGTAATACTTACGTCTATTTAATGAATAACTATCCGTAGTGTGCTGGAGTCACTTTATATCCCCTTGGGAAAGCCTACTGTGTACATCGCCTCCCAACTGCACATTCAGTGACATGTTGGTAGCCTGAAATTGGCCATGGAGAAGTATTTACACCACAGAAATCAGGAAACACTAAAAATCGAGTCTGGTTTATTTTTTCCCAGACAGCCCATTCTTAAACACTTAGTAGGACCCCACTGTATATGCTTAAAATTTGTTCCTGACAGGAGTATGTGATCAAAAAACTTCCTGTATCGGAATAAACTGGAAGGAGAAAGAAGATCTAAATTCAGAGAGGACTATAAACTTGATAATAGGCAAATGACTAAGTTTCAGGGAGTTTTTAGAGGGAGAGAGAGGGGAGCACTTCAATTTTTCACAGTGAAAATGCAAAACCAATCACTAGTTAAGAATGTGGGCTGGTCACGTGGCCTGCTTGCCAGATAGTTCTGGACTCCTCTGCCATCACCCAGCTTTTTGGATCCAATGTTGAATTATGCTTCCTAGCCCCCTCATGTTGGGTGAAACATGTGACTGTTTGTGTCCAGAAAAATGACAGCTGTCACTTCTAGCCTGGAGCACTTTAGGGAGTACCACACCCTCCAGAACGCTCTTTTTTGGCATAGTCACCAGCTAGTGGCTATGTGGACCCCTGAGTTACTACTTTCATGGGTAGTGATTTTCTGCCAACCCACAAATGATACGTAGAATGAGTAAGACATATTGCTGGGGGAAGCCACTGAGATTTGAGGGTTGCTTGTTACTACAGCATTATCTAGCCCATTCTGCCTGATCCAGAATGCAGGAAATAGAAGGTAAGCAGGAAGTCTATGCAGGCAGAAGAAAAATGAAGTCGTCAAGCCTGCATATGGAAAAATGACCTTACTAGGAAAGCGTGGTAGGATTGCCCTGCTTCTCAGAGTGCCTACCTGAGGTGTGGGATCATAAATTTAAAGTGACAGAAAGCAGAGTTATGTGGCCCACCACTATGAATGGCCAGTGAGACTGCCAGGGATGCATTTAGGATTTATAGTTTCTATATTCGTTTATCCCTTTGAAAAATAAAAAGAGAAATAGCGTACTTCCTGTTTATGCAGCTTATGAAGACAGCAGTCTAGTAAGCAACAACGGAATATTCTGGAACCATGCGCAGAAACTCTAATTCTATCACTAACCTGGTTCTCTGAGCAAGTCCCAGAGGCCTCGGTATACTTGAAGCACATCGAACAGCAGCGGTCAAGAAGGAAATTTCTCCGTAATTTCTTAACAACTCTGGGTTCTTTAATCCTCAGTATAAAATATTAGCGAAAAGTAAGATAATTGGGAACACACTCTCTCTGGGACTGGGAGAGGAGGAAGACTGGAGATAATGCACACACGCACACACACACACAATCTACACACAGCTTGCGGCCATCATTCAACATACAGTAGGGCTGGAGACTGCAGAAGATGGATTTAACACAGGGGAATAATAACTCTAAGGACCCGGGAAATTCACATAACCATATGAGTATCACAAGTAAATACCTTGACATTAAAAACAGCATTCTAAAAACAAAACAGTAATAATGATGTGGGAAAGTATCCCACCCCCCCCACCCCCCGGATTTTTTTCACTCATCTCTCATGTCCTTTCCCCTCCAACCACATTGGCCTCTTTTCCTACAGGCCTCAAGAGGCCATCATTCAACACCTCCCCTTCAGGGCAGGCTCTTCCTCCCAAATCTACTTGCCAGGCCCTTCTCATCCTGCAGGCCACTTTCTCAAAGAATCCTTCCCTGAACTTCCCCCACCTCAAATATATATCCCCCATTATCATTCAACACACACTTCTCAATCCATAACTACGTATTTCTT